TTTTTTTTTCGTCTAATAACATCTGTTCTTTTTGTTCTATGGAAATTTGAGTCCTGAGTATTTCCACTTAACCCTTTTTGGCTTGAACTTATTTAATTATTTACTTTTACAGTATTTTTCTTTTTCTTGTAAGGGCAGGCTCATGTTAAATTGGTCTAAAAGAGTTTGCTGCCTCAGTTATATACCAAAGAACTCCTTGATTTACAATAAATAGAAAATTAGCAGTTTAGGCCAGAAATTTAGCATTTCAGATTATGGGAATTTTCTGTGGGAAAGCCTTTGAAATTCTGGCTGGGTCATACAGGGTTAATATTTACAGTTAATGTAATATTGCCTCTTTATATTTAAATGGATTTGGTATTCTGTCTTCTTTCTAATAAAAGGGAGGACCTGGAGGGTAAGTAGTGGTTCTGTTCTGGGGTATGTTATAAGCGAGTTATTTAATTTGGAAATCTCCTTCTCAGTTGCCCATTGGACGTCAGTGTGTGAATCATTACCGACGCCTAAGGCGCCATTGTGTCTTTTCACATGAGGAACTCATTTTCAAGATGGCAGCAGATCCAGAATGCTTAGATGTGGGGCTGGCTGCCATGGTCTGCAAAGAATTGACTCTCATGACTGAGGAAGAAACACGGTTAAGAGAGTCTGTTGTACAGATGGTGAGTTTGCTGAGCACATTTTCTATGTTTGATACTGCTTATGGGATATGCTAAATAAACCTATAGATAGAATTTTCATCTCTGATTCCCTAGGAGTTAAACATAAAAATCACTGATTTGGAGAAGATTTTATGTTTTTATGACTGACATACTGGTTTCTCCAGATTAAAAACGTTTTAGGAATCTTATCATCTAGGTTTTTAAAACGAGTCCTATCAGAATTTCTTAGGCATATATTTACGTTTTAAATCTTCTACATACGGTGTTAATTGTTTAAAAATAAAATTTAAATCTTTTTTTTTCTGAGCTTTGTGTTGAATAAGTTGTGTTTCTGGCAATTACAGACTGTCAGTTTGAATTAATCTTTTTCCCTCCCCTTTAAGTAATTTGATGAATAGGAAGGATGGAATAACCAAGGGTTGGGATTTAAAATACTTAGGATAAGCTAAGCATCATCACATTGAACTGGCTAATATATGAGAAAATGTGTATCTTTAGCATCATCTTGGCCTGTTCTATCTAATATTTCCTGCATAGCTGGCTAGCTTCATTAGGTTTACACCATGCTTCCTCCTGTTTTTGTATCATGTCCCTCCTCCTTCTCTGCCTGATATTCTGTCTCTGTTTTTAAAATAACTTTGTTGAAGCATAATTGAGATGTAATAAACTACATGTGTTTAAAGTGTACAATTTGATAAGTTTTGACTGTGTATATACCCATGAAACCATTGCTACAATCAAGATAATGAATATATCTATCACCCCTACAAGTTTTTTCATGCCCTCATATGGTTCTTCCTTCTTGCTCTGTACCACCTTTTTGAAAGATGGGTTCTCTCTCTGTTGCCCAGGCTGGAGTGCAGTGGCACAATCATAGCTCATTGCGGCCTCAAACTCCTGGGCTCAAACAATCTTCCCACCTCAGCCTCTGGAGTAGTTGAGACTGCAGGTGCGTGTTACCATGTCCGTCTAATTTTTTAAATTTTTTGTAGTGGTGGAGCCTTGCTTTGTTACCTAGGCTGGTCTCAAACTCCTGGCTTCAAGCAGTCCTCCTGCCTTGGCTTCCCGAAGCTTAGGGATTACAGGCATGAGCCGCCACACCTGGCCATCCTGCACCATCACCTTCTCCTCTTGCCCCAAACCCCAGAAACCACTATTCTTTCTTTGCTTATTTTTTTGGAGAATTTTATTCAAATCAAACCATACAAGTTGTCCTTTTATGTCTGATTTCTTTCATTCAGCGTAATTACTTTGGGACTCATCCATATTGTTGCATGTACCAATACTTTATTCCTTTTTATTGCACACTGGTTTTCCATTGAATAGGTGTACCGCAATT